CTCCTTTTCAACAAACATTCATTGAGCGTCTACCCTAAAGCAGACCTTCCCACCACTCCTCGCTGTCCTCTGCCTGGGCAGTTCCTTCAAGCCTTGGTTTTAGTGTCCTTCAAGCCTTGGTTTTAGCCTCCTCGATGAGCCCTTCCACAGCCACCGGGCCACCACCGCCTCGCACCCAGTACCCTCTATGCCGTTTCCTGTTTGGTACTCATCCCTGTCTCTAATTACTTGATGTGCGTATTTGTCTATTTATGGTTGGCCTTCCCCGACTGGAAGCTCCGTGATGGCAGGGTGCCGGCTCAGGCTTTCTGGTGACGCCATAAGATGAGGGAGACGAGGCCACTGAAACAAACGGCCAATGTGCTCTCAGGTGCATTCATAAAGATGTCCAGAACAGTGGACTTCCGGTGCGTGTCTGAAAGACAGGGAGGCGATGGGGTTGTCAGCATGGGGGTGGAAAGACTCAAGGAAGACACACGAGCTCTCCTTCTCCAACGTCTGAAGGCTGCGACCCGGAAGAGGGCTGTGGACTTGCCTCAGAGGGGCAGTGGGAGAGGGCTGGAGGGACGAAGTTGCAGGGGCAGGCTTGGGTTCAAGGTGCTCCTCGTTAGGATTGTTGGGTACTTCCTGTCTTGCACACTAATGTGTGAGTACTAAGAGGGTGGCAGGCATCCATTTTATTCCTCTCTATGTAAATAGCACAGTACCTGGTATGTTTGTCACTCCATAACTATTTGATTGAATGAATGTTGTGTCGAAGATCAGTTACAGGTGGAGGCTGTCACTGTTCACTCTGCCTGGAATGTTCCTCATCCCCCCCCCGCCCCCGCCGCCTGTCATCTGCTTGACCCTCCGGTTACTCTGTGGTCTAACCTTAAATATCCCGTCGTCAGGAAAAGCTTCCCTATCCCCCTATCACCGAATTAGAGGGCCCTCTCAGAGCCTCCTGTATTTTTCCATCATTGTGATGATTGTATTTGACGTTATTTGCTGGTTATTTGAGGTAGATATTCCCCTACCCGACGGCACTCAGTCTCTCTTGCCTGAATGATCCCCAACAATGCCGTGAGATGGCTGTTGGCATCCCCTGTAGAGTATGCTCTGTGAGAGCAGGAACTGCGGTCATTTGCTGCTACAGCCATCGCGTGGGGCACAAAGCAAGTACGCAAATATTTCTTGAATGAATTAACTTTACAACTAAGAAATTGCTGAAGGCTCAGCAACATGTAAGTGGTCGACGTTACACAATAAGCCAGCAGTAGAGTCTAGATTTGAACCCAGGTCTGTGTAACTCCAAACCCTGGTTTTTTTCTACTACACCAAACTCTGCGGGTGCAGAGCCATTGTTCAGGACCTCGCGGTCTGCCATAAAAGGTGGGCCTCTTGGTGAAAATGTTGGAAGGCAGAGTGTGAAGGCATGGCACCAGCCAGGTTGCCTCACCCATGGGCTCAAAGAGATATAGGAGGGCACTTCACTAAGAATTCGAGAAACTTCCCAACCAGGGGAACTTGTGTCTGGCAGCCAACAGTGCAGCAGACAGAAGGACAGAGCTGAGACTTCATGCCCTACCCTGGTCTGATGGCAAGCAGGTGGTGGATGGGCAGCAGGATGGACGTCTGCAACTCCTTTCATCATCCTTCTAGTTATACTCAAGATGGGCTAGCCCATCGCGTGCTATTGGAGCTGGGAGAGTAGCAGGTAACAAATCTAGACTTTGGATTTGAATCCTGGATCTGTCACTTACTAGCAGTGTGACAACTTCCCTCCACCTGAGTTCCCTCATCTGTGAAAGGAGAATAACACAAAGCATGATTAAGATTAGATTAAAATGTGGATGAAAAGAACACCTCCTATATACATTGCCTGGATCTAAGGGGGCTCAAAACAATGAGTGCTATTTTTATCATTCTCAGTTTATTTCAAGCCTCATACCTCAAGGCTGCATCATCTGTGTGCAGCACTTCCTGGCAAGGACTTTCTGATTAAGTCAAGACATCTACATTTTCATCTCCTTACACCTGTGCACTGAGTCAGGTAGACAAATAGACTTGCTCAAATCTAATGCAGGGTTTTATTTGTGAATTTGGAAACATGCGTTTGTTCAAGAAACAAGCATCAAAGCTGCTGTCACCAAACCCCAACCTACAAAACTTCTTACGTACAAAGAGAAAGACCTGTCTTTAACTTGGAAAAAGGACTATTTGTGTGATTGTGTTCTCAACCCAACTTGCAACTGCCTTTCTACCTAACTGGATACAGAATTTACTCCCCCCATATAATGGAACTAACATTTTCATGATATTATCCACCACTGAGCTAACAGGCTACAAATCAATGTAACAGATTCGACTGCTTTGAGTCGTATTTCTTAAATGGTCCCATAAGCAAATACATCCAGCCTCACACATAAGCACCAAAAATTTGCCACCCCATAAGTTACGTTCCGTTAGGTTTCTGTTTGTTGCTTTTTAAAACATCAGTCTTCCCCCTTTCCCAGTAGGTATATAGGTAGAAAAATAAATGAAGTCAGCATTCTTTACTTCTCACTAGAATAAACTGTGACTCAAACACTGTGAGTAGTTATTTGCAAGGCTATAATTTTTTTAATGACAGATTTTCCTAAAAGAAACCACTATAACATCTGTCCAAGAACTCCAAGGGAAAACAAAAAATACATAAAAGATTAAAAGTCTATTACTTTAACAGCACATTGCCAAACATAGACAACTAGGATAAAATGCCAAGGAACCTTAAAAAATAACTTGAAAAGATGCAACGTTCAAGTCATTCAAACGTGTAGGGTCCACAAAGAACAGAAAAACAAGTCCGAGAACAGTTCTACTTGTGCATGATGGGAACTCAGACTGTACCTCATCCAAGTTCATTCAGGTGTCTCAAACCAATAGATGTATGAGCAGAGTTTGTTTTTTTCTTCTTTGCTTGGAGATGCGCACGCAGATTAGAGGAGAATCTTCCAGATGCTGATGTAAGCGCAGCAGGCTTGGTTCCCCTCTGATAAAGTATGAAGGCAGATTTAGTTGACTCAAACTTTATCAGTTTCCCTAAGAAAAGGTCTTATGCATGCTGAAAGAGACGAGTTACTGAATTTGTCATGCTAAGTATTTACAGCAATTTTCATAAAGTGAGCTCAGTAACTTGACAGGATAAAAAAGGTAGTTGTGAATTTCTTATATAACCTTTTACAACGTGAATGACTTCGTGGGTAAATGACGCTGAAGTTCAAAGCCCCTCAAACACACATTAACAAGAAATTATTGACTGCATGAAGAGGCACACATTGTAGAAAATGCACACTTCACGGGGTTCCTGCATAGCAGGAAAGTCGCTACCACTACATAACAAATGGCTATGCCAACAGTTAGAGCTGCCACTCAAGGGTCCAACAGTAGAATTCCCTCAAAATCGCAAGGAGTGTTTGCATCACAGCAAGGAAACCTTTGGGAAGACAAGTACATATTTTGTTTGCAAAGATATTTTGTGTTGGACAATTTGAACATCGCATAAACAAATCCGTTTTTGAATTGGGTACGATTTAAGGCAATGCTACTCAGACCTGAGGGGGGAAAAACCCACAGAAGTTTCTAGTTTTCCTCTGAAACTCTGACGGGTCAGAATCAGTGTCAGAAAGGATCCCCCCGCTAAGATTCAATGCACCATTAGGTGTCTGCAGCTTACAAAACAGGATCCACTTGCATACTCTGAATACGAAATGGGCAATGTTATGTACTCTTCCTTGAAAACTGTAAAAAAACAAAACAAACATGGCAGCTTAGGTATTTCATATTAAAATGTCACATGAGCATGAAGACAGCTACACCTGGTGCACACAAAGGAGCAACCGCCCTCACAGCAAGCTCTCTGCAGTGCTGTATTTCTCTCATGACTGGCTGTGGTGTAGTGTGGAACGGTCATGGATTCATAAATTAACTTTTAACATCAACTACAGACTAATGAATGACAATTAGACACAAGTAAGTTCAAAAGTTTTACATTTTGCTCCTGTTTGGCTGCTAAAGAGCAGCGATTTAAATTGATATAAAAACTTCTGACCACAAAGCTTGCTATACACATAAAGTACATAATCAAAAAGTAAGCAGCAATTGAATTTCTTATTTAAACTTATCTGGTATATAGTATTTACATATTTGGGGGGAGAACTCTCCGAAACCTTCATGTTCCTTACTCCCCTTCCTGGCCTCTGCCCCCTCTCTGCCTGCCCCAGCCCCTCCAAATTGAAATCAAGTGCTCTGAACTATATACAACTGTACTTTGGCTAAGTGGGCTGGATGGCACGACTCCTTCCCAGGTCTTGGAGTGGAAGAAAAGAAACAAAGTCTTGGAAGTCATGTGCAGCCTTCTTTTCCGAGTAACAGTGTACTGTAGCCAACAAATCTGTTCTTTTCATGGCAAGGGGGGTAAAGGGCCCCCGCACTTCACTCCCCAATCTGAATGGGGCAAGATCCAAAGCCACTGGCCTCTTGCACCACAACAGGCCACCGGACAAAAAGGAAAGGAAAGGGTCACGACAGAGGCAGCAGCAATCAACACAAGTTTCCCGACAAAGGAACTTCTCCTGCTAGCACTCCCCCCTTCCTCTCCCTCCCCTCCCACAAATTCATTGCCTTAAAATTAATTCATATCACGAGAACTCGGTACTCTGGTTAAGTGTCAAGTAAATATAAGAAAGAGTAAATCTGTCACCTTGTATACTTGAACTGGGACATAAAGCTGGGACACACGACATCACTGAAATTAACTTTCTAAAACAGATCCGGTCTACATAGTGCAGCCAATAAAACGTAAGAGTTTGTTCACAATCTGCCTTGTACAGGGTATTTATAGTCTTTCGATGCCATATAAATAGCATTTATACAGCTTAAACATTCAGAGACATGCACTGGGACTTTTTAGGTAGTACGAATTTCTTCACAATCACATGTGCAAATTTTACAGATCACTAAGTGAGTAATGAGTAAGCTTAGGCTGGACCGTGTCTTGTGTTATCTAACAAATTTAACGGGGGTTCAGAGTCATCCATAGGAAGAACCAGGCGTGTTCCCCGAATGACCAGTTCATGGTCCCCGAATGCAAGTTCCCGATCCAGGGCATCTTCAGAACTGTTTCCCATAAATCTCCTAGGGGCACCGGACGACGCTGATTCAGTGTTCACGGTAGAATCTCCATACGTCAAACTAATATCACCATCATTGAGAATAAGATCGGAGTCATCATCTTTCAACTGTTCCTGGTTCTAAATTCAAATAAAATAAGTTTTGCGAATTGTTATGAAATTCAAGAAACATTTCCAATAGCAGAATTTTCAAGGATGCCCTATTTAAAAAGCTTCAGGGGCCGCTCCCTGCCCTCAGGATAAAGTCGAAAGTCCTCACCCTGGCTTAAAAGACACTGTGCGACTTGGGGCCCTCAGCTTCATCTCCCAACACCATCTGTTTCTCTGACCTCACCCGCCTCACTGTGTGCCCGAAGACTGAAGTGCTGACAGCTGCCCCAAATCTCTCGTGCTTTCTCTTACGTCCTGTCCCCTCTCCCCTCCTTCATGTAACTAGCACCTACTTATCACTGAGGTCTTGGCTGAAAAGTCACTTTCTCCTAGAAGTCTTCCTTGATCATCCAAGGCTAGCTTAGGGGTCCTCCTGTGTTCCCCCCTAGCCTCCTGTACTTAGTCTTCTCCCTAGAGTGGCACTTACCCCTTTGCGTAACTGCTCAGGCAGTGGTGTGCGCCACACACCTGCCCCGCACTAGACCCTAAGTCCCTTGTACGCTGTACTTCAATCACCTAACAGTTTGGGGGCACAGAGAAAGTATTCGCTAAATATAAGTTCAATTGATTGTTGAACAGATTAATATAAATGAAGCTTTTACTGCCGTATCAACAATACCTAGAAATACTGAACCCTCACTACACACTTGTCACCCAGCTCAATGGGCTTTGGTTCTAATGGAAACTTTAGGGCCAAAAAGAATATAAATAAAGTTCCAGAAAAGGGAAAAAATGTTTAGCATATATAGTGCCATTGTGGCAAATTAAAAAGTGTACATGTGCACAGGAAAGACTAGAAGGTATTCAACAAAATGATGATAGTTAGCTCTGCATGACAGAATTGCTAGTGGTTTTTATTTTCTTATGTTTTTGTACTATCTGAAATTTTATTATAATGAGTACATATTACTTTTAAAAATCAGAAAGTCAGTTTTGAAAATGTAGAGTAAGAATTATTCTAAATACTCATATTGATCTAGCAAAAAGAAGTCTGTGACTAATACTCCTTGAGGGAAGTAGAGCTGACAGAAACATCCTACACTCAGCTCTCCTATCCTGTGCGTGTTTAAAATCTTTAAATTTGTCTAAGATGGTCAAATAGACTGAGGGCACGATTGGACAAAAATTTTTAAACTTTAAAAAAATTTGCTGTTGCTAGAAATTTGCCTAAATACTCAAAGACAAAGACATGTGAATTAAAAACCAAACAAACCCATTCCACCAACCAGCCATAATCCCCTCCTGCCCAATCCAGTTATAACAGTTAAGTCTAACAAGCGTTGTCTATCGCTTAATTCAGCAATACTCAAAGCTCTGTGGCACCTTCACTCGTCAGCAGGGGCTCTTCAGCACCTTCTAATGACTTTATTAAGTTTCAGGTTTGGGGCAATATCTACCAAATTTTAAAACGCATATGACTTTTGACCCAGCAACTTAACCTTTAAAATCTATTCTTTATAACTTTATATTCTTGGGTAAATTTATATACACAAGGATATTCACTGTAAACACTGTTTGTAACAACAAAAACACGAAAGGAGGAACAATGTAAAGGTCTAGCCACAGGAGACTAATTAAATCAATCTTGGCAAAACCACACTGTGCAGCCACCAATAGAGAGAAGGTAAGGGATCTCATGGACTCTTAGAAACATATCCATGCTGTATCATTAAGTGAAAAAAGCAAGTAGCAGGACAATACTCTTATTATGATCCCATTTGTGTAAAACAATAAAGAGAGCTATATATACACATATAAGTTTGTGTAGATAAACTATAGCAGGGAGTATCCAAAATAAACCCTTAATAAAGACTGCCTCTGGGGGATGGAGGTGGGAGAAAGAGAGCGACTTTTATTTTTCACTTTGTACATTCCATACTGTTTGAATATCTGGCTGCAAGCATGCTACTTTTATAATTTAATAAGTAGTTAACATAGCAAAAAATAAAATTAAGTTTTATGGTTGTTACGGGTTACATGGTATCTCGCCCCCCCGCACCTCCTCCCCAAGAGATGTGAAATCCTAACTCCCAGTACCTGTGAATGTGACCTTATCTGGAAATAGAGTTTTTGCAGGTGATCACATTAAGATTAGGTCCTTGGTGTGGGCCCTGAGCAAGTATGACTGGTGGGTGTCCTTATAAAAAGGGGAAATTTGGAGACACAGACGCACATGTGCACACAGGGAGAACGCCAGGTACAGATGAAGACAGAGATCTGTGTGATGCATCTTCAAGCCAAAGAATGCCAAAGATGGCCAGCAAACCACGAGAAGCTGGAGAGAGCCCTCGGAAGGCCCCAACCCTACTGGCACCTTGACCTCAGACTTCTAGCCTCCAGAACTTGAAACAGTAAATTTCTGTTGTTAATCCATTCAGTTCGGGGTACTCTGTTATGGCAGCCCAAGGAAACGAATAGAACAATGCTGTATTTTGCTATCCACAGGACACACAGGCATTGTGGAACTCTTCTGGCTTTTGGTGATGGCGAGTGGGTCTTTGGAATCCCAGAGCCAGACCTCAATGACTTAACTGACAAAGCTGGCTGACCCCTCAGCACAGAGCCACATGGGCTAACAGGGTAAAGAGGGAATGGGGGCCGTGCTTGATACGGGAGCCTGGGCAAAGTGGCAGGGAGGGACAAGACAACACGGGGTGTTCCCCCCAGCCCACCAGTAGTCTGTCGGAACTGTGCACTGACTCAACATAACACAACGCTGCAGGGTGCTCCTCCCTGACCCAGGTGCCACCCCTGCTAAGACTCCTCTTCCCCATCCATTCTCTGTGGGATCTGCTCGAAAACACCACAGAGGCGGTCACAGGGAACTGGAGGGTGCACGTCTACACTGCTTTACCACAGCCTCATCTCTCAACTCAAGGTGTTGCATCAGAGTAGTCAAAATTGGTGGGTTTTGTTAACATGGGCACTTTATTTGATGCACCAGATTATTTTTGAAGGGTTGGGTTAGAAGTAAAGGTTTTTAAAAAAGAACTTGAAAAATTAAATGTTCATATTTTAAAATAAAAACTGGTTAGTATTTGTCATTTCTTTCTTTGTGGCAATACCTGCTGAATCACTAATCTTATGTCGGCAGCTAAGGAAAAAATATGGAATCTAGATTATATCTAGATATATCCATGCCTCCCAGCGATATGGTACACAGGTAGATAAATTTTCCCTAATACCCGAAATAAAAGAGCATCTGTTGCACTTTAGGGGCATCAAAAAATGTTTTAGTAATCCTCTCCACATGACTGTGATGACCCTGATTTATAGATTACAATATACGCAGTTAGTACTAAGCTCAGGCCACATGCTGCAAATAAATGAAAACCAGCATGGAAATAGAATTATTTACTAAAATCACTGACAGTAAGATGAGATGCTATTCTATATCTTTTTTTAAATGACGGCTCAAAGGCTGTGAATTATATTTATAGATTTCAGTGCATTTTCTGGCTGAGCAAGATATGTTTATATTCCTGCTTGTGGATTTTATACCTTAAACGCAAGCAAAGCAAAACAAAACAGAAAACCAGTAACCCATCCACGGAACAGATAGTTTTAAATTTAACTTAATGAAGAACTTAGGTTCTGGATAAAACTAACTTACCTCATAAGCCTGGGGGCTGGTTAGGCATCTCGCAACGGGTCCACAGCAGGCAGGGAGGGTTGTCGTAAGAGGAGGTCCACTGTGCGTCAGCAGAGGCTTCAGATAGCTGTGCCAGTTAAGGAGGAGCTGCGTTCCTTTCTTTACCAATTTAAAAGAACAATCTGTTTGATAACAATCACTGTCACAGTGTACCTACCAATTCAGATAGCAAACGTCCCATTTCATGACCCTATTATGCAACGGGAGGGAGATTTTATTATTATCTCTGTTTTACAAATATGGAAACTCAGGCTCATAGAAGTCAACGATCTGCCTAAAGTCACACAATTAAGTAAACGGAGGACCAATACTCGAACCCAGATTGGTTTGATTCCAAATCCTATGCCCTTTCCACTACATCATATTGTCTTTCTGATTTTACTAAAGCCAAAAGGAAGACAAAATCGCTCTCAATTTAGCGCTGAAGGAGACACAGAAGAAAGTAAAGAATGGTAAGAGCCTAAAAAGAGATTAAATATTCCAGTAGTAGAATATAGTAATAAAAATGGTTTTAATTATTTATTGTAGATTCAGCTGGCCTCTTCAATGAGTTGAAACTTTAGTATCAAAGGCAACTCAATTCTAAAAACATTAAATAAAATTATGCAGCATGAGGTCCTCTGTCATAGACTCTTATTTCAGTATTCATCTATTCTCCAAAAATAAAAATAAAAACAGATGCAACAATATATTTGATACTCAGAAGAAAAAAAGAGGGAATCATGAGAAAAAGCAGAAAAAGGGAGAAAGACACATACATATTCGCTACTTTCTAAAATTACAACTTAAGGTTGTTCTCAATTAAAAATGAGGAGGCCAAAGAAATTTACATAAATTCACATATTTATAAACTCTAAGATTAAAGTACTTCATGTAAACACACATACATAGCTCATAAAACATCTTGCCACACAAAACCACTGAAAATCTGGAATGATGAATTCTACTAGTGCATTAAGTACAGAAAGTACCAGATCGTAGTTTAGTGGTACTTAACAGGCTAGTACTGAGGCTAATAAGTCTTGGTATTTAACTCTATAAGAACAAATTCCCTAAAAACTAAAACTTACCAAATATTGACAAAAGGAAATCTGAATAGTCCTGTATTTATTAAAGAAACTAAAAACCTCTTCATACAAAAAGTTCCAGGCCCAGAAGGCTTCACTGGTTAAAACCTTCCCAGACTTAAGAAATAACACCAATCTTACACAAACTCCTCCAGAAAAATAGAAAAAGAGAAAAATTCTTCCCTACCTGTTTTATAAAACTAGCACAATCTTCCTACAGAAACTTGACAAGGACATTACAAGAAAAAAAAATCACGAGCCAATACCTCTCATGAAAAGACACAAAAATCAGACACAAAATATTAGCAAATTATATCTAGTGACATACACAGTGAATAATATCATAATCAAGTGGGATTTGTTCCAGTAATGTAAAACTGGCTTAACATTCAAACAATTGATGAAAATCAGGAAGATAACACACTAAAGGAGAAAAAAAAAAATACACGATCGTCTCAGTTGATGTAGAAAAAGCATCTAATAATATTCAATACCTATTTATGGTAAGAACTCTTAGCAGACTAGAAATAGAAAGGAATTTTCTTACATTGATCAAGGATATCTCAAAACCTGACAGCTAACATTATACTCAATGGTGAAATATTGAAAAATTTCCCCCTTAGGTCAGGAATAAGACAAGAATGCCCACTATCATCACTTACATTTAACATTGTACTGGGAATGTCCAGCCAGTATAATAAGACATAAAAAAATTACAAGGTATTGGACAAGAAAAAATAAAACATTATTATTCACTTGGTTATATGCATAGAAAATAGAATCTAAAAACTATTAGAAATGTAAGTAAACTTAACAAGATTGCTGGATACAAGGCCAATATATAAAAATCCAATCGCATACCTATATATTAAGGGCAAAAATGTAGAAAATAAAATAAAATGAAATACATACCATTTACAGTAGCACCCAAAATACCAAATATATAGAGATAAATACAATGAAAGATGTGCAAGACCTGTCACTAAAAACTATAAAACATTAATGAGAGAAGTTAAAGAAGATCTAAATGAATGGAGGATATACAGTGTTCATGGATTGGAAGACTCAATATTGTTAAAATGTCAGTTCTCTCCAAATTCATCCACAGATTTAATACAAATTCAATAATTTGCCAGCAGGTTTTTTTCTGTGTGCATGTATGTATGGAAAATGACAAGTTGTTTCTAAAATTTAGATGAAAATGCCATGGACCTAAAATTAGCTAAGGCAATACTAAAGAATGACAAACCTGTAGAATTTCTGCTATTGGATAGCAAGACTTATTAAAAAGTACAATAATTAAGAGAGTGTGGTATTGATGTAAAAATAGACAAAGAGAAAAGACGGTCCGGAAACAAGAGCCCCCCGACTTATATGGCCAAGTGATTTACAACAAAAGTTCCACTGCAATACAGTGGGTTAAGGATGGCATTTCCAATAAACGGTGCTGGGTCAACTGAATACTCGTACGGGAAAAAAATAGGTCTTGACCCACACCTCACACTATACACAAAAATCAATTTGTAATGGATCGAAGACTTAAATGTGATAGTTAAGACAATCATATGTTTAGAAGAAAACATAGGAAAATATCTTCATGACCTTGGGATATAAAAGATCTCTTAAGACACAAAAAGCACTAACCATAAAAGATTAATGAAATAAACTTCATTAAAATGAAGAATTTCTGTTCCTCAAAAGACAGGATTACAAAAATGAAAAGGTGAGCTATAGATTGGGAGAAGATAGTCACAATACATATAACTAACAAAGAACTCAATTCAGGAATATAGAAAGAATTACAAGTAAATTAAAAAAAGATAAGACAGTTCAATTAAATAGTGAGCAAAAGAACCAAACAGACACACTTCATAAAAGAGGATATCCAAATGGCCAATAAATATATGAAAGGAAACCTCACTGGTCATCAGAGGAATGCAAATTAAACCACATGAGATATCACCACACACCCACTGAAATGGCTAAAATTTCAAATGCTGACCAATACTAAGTTTTGGAGGAGATGTGGAGCAACTTAACTTGCTGGTGGGAGTGTAAATTGGTTACAACCACTCTGGAAAATGGGTTGGCAATATCTATTAAAGCTAAACATACACTTGCTCCAAATTCCATTCCTAGGTATATACCCAAGAGAAATGAGTGCCTATGTTCATGAAAAGATGTACAAACAAGGAATTCCCTGGAGGCACAGTGGTTAAGAATCTGCCTGCCAGTGCAGGGGACACGGGTTCAAGCCCTGGTCGGGGAAGATCCCACATGCTGCGGAGCAACTAAGCCCATGCGCCACAACTATTGAGCCTATGCTCTAGAGCCTGCAAGCCACAACTACTGAGCCCACGTGCTGCAACTACTGAGCCCGTGTGCCTAGAGCCCATGTTCCGCAACAAGAGAAGCCACCGCAGTGAGAAGTCAGCGCACCACAATGAAGAGCAGCCCCTGCTCACCGCAACTAGAGAAAGCCCTCCCACAGCAACAAAAACCCAACACAGCCATAAATAAATAAATTAAAAGATTATTTTTTTAAAAAAAGATGTACAAATGTTTAGCTTTATTTATAATCGTCAAAAGCAGGAAACAACCTAAATGTTTATCAACAATAGTTTCTGAGATATCCTTAACCAAAAAAAAAAAAAAAGAAAACCCCCCAAAACCAAAACCCTGTAGTATATTCATACTATTTATGGAACACTACACAGCAATGATAAAGAATGAATTACTGGTACAGGCAACAATATAGATAAGTTACACAATGTTGACTGAAAGAAGCAAAACATAAAGTAATACATAGTATATAATTCCATTTATATGAAGATCAAAAATAGGTAAAACTAATCCATGTTGCAAGAAATCAGAACAGTGGCCGCCCTTTTGGCTGGGATAAGGCAGGCCTTCAGGGAAGGCATTACTGACTGCAGGGAAAACAGGGAGCCTTCTGGGGTGCTTGAAATGTTCTTCATATCTTTATATGGGTGGCAGGCACACAGGTGTATATTTAAGTCAAAATTCATTAAGCCGTACCCTTAAGATTTGTATACATTACTGTATTTAAGTTATATCTCAATTATAACAAATGAACAAACGGACTGCACAAAGGAACTGAAATCTAGAATGATGAATGATGAATTATACTAGGGCACTAGGTATTAAAATTACCAAGTCTTAGTCTAGTAGTACTGAGTCAAACAATTCTTGGTGGTCACTTCTATAAGAATATAAAAAAATATTATTCTACTCTTTCTCTACATTAGGATCATTTAATTATTTTGTATACTATGCAGAAAATATACAAAACATTTATGAAGGAAAAACTAAACAATTTTTGTTAAATCAGAGGGATGAAAAAATCCCAAGAGATATGGGAGTGGCTTATACCCAAAATGCTGATAATGGAGCCAAAAGTAATGACATAATCATTAAACAATTTTTTTTTTTTTTTGCAGTACGCGGGCCTCTCATTGTTGTGGCCTCTCCCGTTGCGGAGCACAGGCTCCGGACGCGCAGGCTCAGCGGCCATGGCTCACGGGACCAGCCGCTCCGCGGCATGTGGGATCTTCCTGGACCGGGGCATGAACCCGTGTCCCCCGCATCGACAGGCGGACTCTCAACCACTGCGCCACCAGGGAAGCCCTCATTAAACAATTTTAAGGAGCCAGGATCTCTCTCCCTCTAATAGGAGTCTTAATACCATAGATAAGCGAGTATTCATGTTCCCGTATATTAATTTTGAGTCCTCGCAAAAAGAGAATGTTAAAATCTAGCAAACAGAATATAGTAAATAGTAGCTTCTAATGATAATTGTCAAGCGCATTTTTCGTAAACATAGAAGGTTTTGATCAGAAAGTCAAAAGCAAGGGAAAAACATTTTACATGGTTGTCCCAAATTTGCTTCAATGGAACATAAACCAGGTTTTGATTCCCTTACTGATAAGTCTCAGCCAGAAAGAACTCCATGGTCGCTTTTTCTAGTTCAACTTTCAAATAAGAAATTAATTTTAATAAATAGTGAGTGATAAAGTGTTTTTTAAAAGGCATGATTTAAGCAGGTTATTATATATAGCCCAACCCAAAGTATAGCTATGAAGAAGACTGTTATGATAGGACAAGAAGGAAATCTGGTAAACAATGAAGCACTGGCATTCTGAATGGAGAGGAGAATCTCCCAGTCTGTGGAAAGGTCAGAGAAAAAAATGACATCGCTGACTACTGTGGTACCTAGCATCACTGAATTTCTCATTCTCATGTTTTTTCCTAAGGCAGTCTTTCCTCTTTTACTCTAACAAGCACACTGACAAACCCCAACAAATCCCTTTTGCGGCATTCACTCGGTTAGCTAAAGGACAATAAATATTAAAGTTTGCTCAATAAATAAACCTATATATCAAAACAAGTCTATCATAAGGGCTCCTGAGTCCTTGCACACAGCAAGCTTCTGCAATAACCAGTCTTTACTGGTTCCATGGGTTTTCAGAGGATTCATCTGTGTGGGTTTCCTCTGGTAACCTTCTCTACTACACTGAAGGGGAAAGGGAAGACCAAAGGCAGGTTTTATACTCCAGTTCAGGAAGAGAGTGGTCAAAACCGTTGTTCCATTAAACTCTAGTTGTCCATGTCTGTACTGCCATTTTTTTTCTCAGTTAAGGATACTTATGATCAAAGTTATACCATATCCGGAAAAGCCAGGCACTCTCTGCTTTGGTAGTTCTTCTTTCACTTTCAGGAATACCCTGCAAACAGATCATAAATCAATACATACACAAAGATAAAAACACATTTATTTAAGAGTCATTTCTTTGTAGAATCAGGAACATAGCCTACCGCATACGAGATACTCTCCAACATGGGTAACATGAGAAATTTAATAGCTTGTACACTGCAGCTTGGGAATAAAAAATTGAAGTGTTTTTCTGAACACTTCTATTACTCAGGCTGCTTACTGATTTATGAGTCTACTGGCATTTAAAAAAATCAGTGTGGGATAATCCACCCCCTAAATCTGAAAGGCTTACACCCATGTGAATTGCACCTTAAGTAGAAAACATCCCATCAACATCCCGATCTCTGGGAGTTGTCATGGGTCCCAAAGTTAACTGGCATTTTCAAAGTTGCTACTACGTTCTTACAACACTAGCAAAATGTAAGTAAGTACGGAAATTCCATGTTAAGCCTGACTGGGTAGGAGGGAAAAGTAACAGCAAGCAGGCCTCTTCAAAAACAGCTCCCCCGAAACATAAACTGGGTCCTTATGTGTAATATGATGTGGTCGGCCAGCAGTGGCGCTGTTAGGCCACCTGGTTCCTCTCGGCTCTGACGTGAACTAGTTGGGCAACTCCCTTTCCCTCTCTCCAGCGGAGTTTTTTCATGTATACAATGTTACTCGAAGGCTCTTTCCAGCATGAATGTTCTATGTTTCTGGGATTTTCGAAGAGTACGGAGTTCAGATTCTGGCTTTTGGTTCCTGTTCTTCCTGATCTTCGAAATAAATGAATCTTCCTCTCAACATGTATCAAAACATAGACAATATAAAAATGTTTGAGAACACTATATGGGCTTACAAGAGCAGAGAATCACACATATTTCCTTTCACATCAGGAGGCATTGGTTTGTATGTCTCCGCTTTTTGAAGAGCGACGACTCTGTAAATCTCACACGATCCTCTCACCACATGAGCACCTGTACACCTAACTCCCACACGCTCCGTAGTTACTAAAATCTTCCTCTGGGCTTCCCAGTGGACACTCGAAATACTGAGTAAACAATATACTGAGCCAAGGCATCCATACGGTTTTGAGGACAAGGTAAAAATGATATTTTTTTCCTGGATGTCGCAGCTGCTATTCACCTACCTGGCTCTCTCCCTGTCACTCCATTTCCATTTGTCCTCTGTGGCGACAGAGGGGACATAGCAGGTGGAGACTTACGCAGATGGTGATCAAGCATTTGTCCGAGGACCTGTTTGGTAACTCTTCTTGTTTAGCCGTGGGGGTGGAGGCACTGAGGAGCTATTGCCCCTTGGAAAGCACCCCAGCAGCTCACCATCATGGGAATTTATCCAGCCTTGTTGTACAAATAGTGCAAGCCCATGAAATTATACTTTAAGGTTCTGACCACAAAAGGGGCAAGTACTTACTATGTCACGTACACACTCAGCACTCAATAGCTAGCAAAATTAGCATTCAGGAAATGAATCTGATAAAAAAATTTTTTTAAACTACACTCTGAAGACAAATAAACCAGGGCTTGTTTCAAACAAGAAAAAGAACTGTGTTTTTAAAGAGATGCTTTCCATCTTCAAAAACCTAATTTCTGTGATTCCCCATCTCATGTCTAGGGCAGAGGCACATAGTCAGTGGTGCTCAGAAAGCATTAACAAGTGGCAGGAAAATACCAGAAAAGGGTGGTCAGTCTAGGGAAGGCACTGAGTCACACTGCATTCAGTCTACCAGGTTCAGGTTCAGAGGAACAACTGAGAAAGCGACACATGGAAGTAAGCAAGGAAACACGGGCAAGGCTGAGGCACGGGGTAAGAAAGCACATTCTCCTGAACAGGCAGGAAAGACTGGCTGAAGAGTCCAACGCTTCTGGGCAGTTCTCAAGGGCAGCTGCTGGTCATCCAATTTGAAAGTTACACAGGAAGAGCAGCTGGAGTGGGGCTTACATCAGAGACAAGCCTTCATGCGCAAACCAAAGTGGAAAAAGGCTCCCCGTGCCAGAGCAGTCACTTGAAAACCCAGGAGCACTTAAGGGACTGCTCTGTCTGTGGCCAAAGCCCAGGTTGGCCCAAAGATAGGAGAGCTGTCACCCTTGATAACCACACGCTGCCTAAAATTCAGTTTTGTCTCTATCGAGCAGTGAGAAAAGCCAGGAATGATGTCAGTTAAAAGCTGATGCAAATAGGACAGGATCTAAATAATAGTGACATGAAGTCTACAGTAGATTTCTTTTCTTTCCAAGCGGCTACACATTTGACAGAAATGCCAGAGACAACACAAATGCATATTTACCAAATGTTCTTGGTCTGAATCAACACCAACCCTAAAGGAGAAACACAAAAGGAAAATGAGATCTTGAAGTCAAAAGAAAAATTGTCTATTCACATATGGGCACTGTCAGGCAACTACTTTTCTTAACGCAGAAGCTATGGAATGCTTAATATTTTCGTGCTTCTCGATGGCTGGTGATGTAGACTTTTGGCTCCCACCACTCTCCTTAGCACAGCTTGGACCCTAAGGCAAGCAGGGTCTACTAATATTCTCTTCCTGCAATCCAATCCCACTTACCAGTTTCAGAAAAAGAACTTTTTCTTCTGTAAGTCCACTACAAGCAGGAGTCAGGGAAAGCAGCATTGCCCCAGTGGTTGAATAAGAACTACAATGTAGTTCCAAAAACAAGGCTGGCCCAATGCAGTTCCAGGAGGGAGCTGCATGTTTTCGGACCTCTCAGCTCTCACGGCAACATCCTCTTATGACTGCAGAGAGGGTCCAATTACAGGGGTTTTCCCATAGGCTAATGGATAGACATTAGCCTTGGTTCTTCAGAATTCTTTCTTATCTGCTTTCCGTATCCCAGGGAACAGCTTCATTGTGAAGAAGCTTCTCTTTGACTCTACCCCCTCAGCACGAGCACTCACCAACCCCACTCACTCTTCCCCTAAACTGTTTCTCAGGTCTTCTTTCCAACTGCTCAAGCTCGGGCCTCATTCTGACTCATGGGGTCTGGAGCAACTGGCTGTAAGGTTGCCCAGCTGCCAGGCTCTCCTCTAGAGTTAGCCGTCTAAAGCAGAGAACTAACTCACTGGCTTGTTCCCTGGACAAAAGACTCGGAGAGCAGCTTGAAACCCAGAGGGTCAAGTCTAAAGTCCTTTGTGTGGCATGCAAGACTCTACAAACTAGCCTCCCCCGCCGCTCCAGCCTAGCTTTCCCCTTATCCTCGCCCACATACCCGCTGTTAGCCAGACCGACTGCTCCTCTCCCCAAATCCTGTCCTCTCCTGAGGCTCCACGCCTCCGCTCATGGTGTTCCCTCTATTGGAAATGTACTGCCCCATATTATTTTTTGTCCTTTTTCAAGTTCCAAAGGAACCATTCTATGGCCCCTTCAGGCGGGATTTTTCCTTTGTGCTTTTACAGCACTTTCTAGATTCCTTTATTATAATACTTAGCACAGTATAGTTATTTACCGGTCAGTCTCCCCCAGAAGACTGTGAGCTCCTTGAGGGTAAAGGCCATGTCCCAATTCATCTCCGTATCCCCAGAGTCTAGCACAGTACCTGACACACAATAGGGGCTCAAATGTTTATCGATTAAGGTCACTACTACAGACAACACAGTAAAAATAGCAGTGTGAGAAGCTGTAGCAGGAGCAGCCCAGTAACACTGAAGGGAGGAAAATGATGCACGACCTTATCTGGAGGGCAAGTGAATCAGGGCCCAAGACTTGAAAACAGATGGCCACGACCAGCTTCAGAATTGAAAGAAACGCTCATTTCTTCCTTGTTAAGATGGCCAGAAGCTATTTAATATCTTCTTAGCCAGATTAAACTCTAATCACATTTGTGTATCTCAAGTGACATCTAGTGGTCTTGAAGACAGCACATTTGTTTTTTTTTTGTTTTTCTGTTTTTTTTAAAATAAATTTTATTTATTTGTTTATTTATTGGCTGCATTGGGTCTTCGTTGCTGTGTGCGGGCTTTCTCTAGCTGGGGTGAGCGGGGGCTACTCTGTTGCGGTGCGCGGGCTTCTCATTGTCGTGGCTTCTCTTGCTGTGGAGCACGGGCTCTAGGCGTGTAGGCTTCAGTAGTTGTGGCACATGGGCTCAGTAGTTGTGGCTTGCAGGCTCTAGAGCTCAGTCTCAGTAGTTGTGGTGCACAGGCTTAGTTGCTCCGCGGCATGTGGGATCTTCCCGGGCCAGGGCTCGAACCTGTGTCCCTTGCATTGGCAGGGCGATTTTTTTTTTTTTTTTTTTTTGCGGTATGCGGGCCTCTCACTGCTGTGGCCTCTTCCGTTGCGGAGCACAGGCTCCGGACGCGCAGGCTCAGTGGCCATGGCTCATGGGCCTAGCCGCTCCGCGGCATGTGGGACCTTCCCGGACCGGGGCACGAACCCGTGTCCCCTGCATCGGCAGGCGGACTCTCAACCACTGTGCCACCAGGGAAGCTCAGCAGGCAGATTCTTAACCACTGCGCCACCAGGAAAGTCCCCTGAAGACAGCACATTTGTAATTCTCAGATGGAACAGTACTGGAGGCCAATTCAAGGTAATACAATTTTTCAGAGCAGTTATTATCTGCCAGGCACTGTGCTAAGCACAGGGCATAGACATGAATTAGACACGGCTCTGCCCTCAAGGAGCTCACAGACTAGTGGGGGAGACAGACACAACTAGAGCGTAATCCCTAAGGGCTTTGCAATCCAGGAGGGCTGGGTTCCAATCTGACCTCATCTCCTTTCTAGCTGTTTGAACTCAGTCAAGTTATGTGGCCCTATGAACCGCAGTTCGATCACCTGGAAAATGGGGATGACAGACCCCACACAGAGTCGCTGCAAGGTTTAAACAAGAAAATGTGTCTAAAGATTTTAAAACAGTGTCCCACACATCACTAACATTCTCTAAATGGTAGCTCTTATAACAATATCATTATTACAAGGCTGACCGAAACACATGCTGTAACAGAGGTACTCCATGTTAAGCAGACGGAAGAGTGGTGCTGAGAGAAAAGGAGAGGGCAAAAGGAGGAGGCGTTTGAGCTGTGCCATCTCCTGGGAGTGAAAGAGAATTCCAGGCAGAGGCAACAGTGTGAGCAAAGGTTCGGAGATGGAGAAATGCAAAGTATGTGTGGTAAATGACAAGGAGCCAAAGGTGACTGTCACAGACTATGTGAAAGGACCTACGAAGAGCTGGCTGGCTCTCACTCACTGAGGAGCCGTTGTCCACGCAACAGGACAGATCATGTCACTTGCTTGCTTTCAAATCCTACAAGATTGCCAACTTGGATTTTAAAATCCAAACTCCTTACCGTATCCTACAAGACCCGATAGCAGGGGTCCACAAACTACAGCCCACAGGCCAATTCGGTGCACCTCCCGCTTTTGTGAATAAAGTCTTGTGGGAACACAGCCATGGCAACTGATTCACATATTGTCTATGGGACTTTCACGCTGGAGTTGAGTAGCTGAGACAGAGGCCATACAGCCTTCAAAGCCTAAAATATTACTCTCTGGCCCTTTACAGGACACGTTTGCCAACCCCTGCCCCTAAAGGATCTTGCCCACCTCGTTTCCTACCTACCCTTCAGTCACTGTAGTCCAGCTAGGTGGGCTTTCTTTTCATTCAATAGGCTACATCTGTGCCTACCTCAGGGCCTTTGCACATGCTCTCCCCTCTGCCTGGACTACTCTTCCTCCTGCTCACCACTTAACTGGCATCATCTTGTCATTCAGGTAGACTGAGCTCAAATCTCACCTCAGAGAGACCTTTCTTGACCTCCACCTATAAAATACATCTATCCCCAGCTACTATCATAGTACCTTGTTTGCCATCATAGCATTTAACATCATCTAAAATTGTCATCTTCATTTATTTACTTGCTAGCTTACTATCTGTCTTCTTCCACCACAGTATAGACATTATGAGACCAGAGACCTTTTCTATCTTATTATTATCACCGCACCTCTCCAGACCAGGGTCTCTTAACCTTCGCATTACCAACATCTTGGTCCAGATCATTCTTTGTTGTGAGGGCTGCTCTGGGCACTGGAGGACGTTCAGCAGCATCCTTGGCCTCCCCTCTTAGATTGTGACAATCAAAAATGTCTCCAGGCACTGCCAAATGTCCCTGGCGGGGGGGATCACCCCCAGTTGAGAACCACTAAGTTAGAGAACCATGGCACACAGTTGGTTCTCAATCAGTATTTATTGAATGAATGAATAAAAGGCTTTACAGACATTAATTAGCTCACTGAATCCTTACAACAACCCTGGGAGGGAGGTACTGTTACACACTTCACAAAGAGGGAAACTGAGGCTGAGAAAGGTTAAAGAACTTGCTCAAGATCACAGAATTACTAAACGAAGGGGCAAGAACTCAAAGTCAGGTCTGATCCTGTATGAATCTTAAACCTGGAGGACTTTTTAGTATCCTCACAGCTGTACTATAGACAAATTTGGGGGGAGGTAAGAAAAACTTAAATTCCGGTCTCTGTTTGAAAAGAGGCCAACCTCCCCCCACCCCGCCCCAAACAGCAACAACAGTAACAAGAGTTAACCTAAGACTGTAAGGTAATGGATACAACTGAATGCCAAACCATGCTACAGGACAGGCAAGATAGAGCCAAAAAGCTTGCAAAGCTGGTGAGGTAGATTCGACTTTATGTGAATAGGTAGGTTTTTGCGGGTTTCTTTCTTTGGTGGGGTAGGCGTGGGTACTTGGTTTGGTTTATGTGGAAGGCAGTTAGGGAAGAGAACTGATTCTACTTAAACACTGAGACTCCACTTAAGACTTATTTTTCCTAAATTATCTCACATTTAATTTTGTTGTTCTTAGTAGAATAAGGAAGAGCCTTCATTTACAAACTCTTGAGGAAAAAAAGGAGTTTAATCCTTCGAAAATGGACCACCCTCATTTCTTTTTTTTTTTTTTTTTTTGCAGTACGCGGCCTCTCACTGTTGTGGCCTCTCCCGTTGCGGAGCACAGGCTCCGGACGCACAGGCTCAGCGGCCATGGCTCACGGGCCCAGCTGCTCCGCGGCATGTGGGATCTTCCCAGACCGGGGCACGAACCCGTGTCCCCTGCATCTGCAGGCAGACCCTCAACCACTGCGCCACCAGGGAAGCCCCACCCTCATTTCTTGATGCAGCATTCTAGGAGAAATTAAGTGAGACTGGAGGCTCCTCTGTCCACCATTTAATGATATGTATGACCTTGAATAACTTAGAAACTTTCTAAGCCTCTATTTCCTCACTTGTAAATGGAGCGATTGTCATTAGACAAATACGTAAAACGTACCTAGCACAATGCCTAGCACATAGTAGGTGCTCAACAAATGCCAGGTCCTCCCTGAAGTAATAATCAGGGTTACAAGAACATTATTTTGGTGTATTTTCTATTATCTACAATAACAGCACAGGAATTGTAAGAAAGGGATTTGAACAGTAAAGGGAGAGAAAGGCAGTAACAACGTTCAAAGTCTGATTGAGTGCCGGCTGCCATTTAGAGTGTTAGGAGAAAGGCATAATAGAATGCAAAAAAATGGAGAACAGATTCTATAAGATGTGAAATACTGTTTTCTCTAATGAACCTTACACATGCTGGAAGCTCAGTAGCTCTTAAGGTCTATGAAGTTAAAGCCAAACACAGAAGTAAAATCTACAAAGGCTTTAGCAACATACACTGCTATACCCATGGAAACAAAGGCAGAACTCTTGAGACACAAGGGAGCTTTCCAATTGAATACATTAACTAGTGTGCATTCAAGACTAAGACGTCACAACCTTGGCCTCGGATTGTCAGGTCAGGAACCATGCTGATCATGAAGATGAGAAAGAATGACAATATCCAGGTGTGATTGGGATTGGGATAAACCGGACTGCCTCATATACTGCAAATATAAGAAAATTTTTGATCCGGTCTGGTAATACGGATCATAAACCTTAAATAGAGGCATATCCCTTGACCAAGCAATTCCACTTTTTAGGAATGCATCCTAAGGAAATAGATAAGTGCACAATGGTGTATGCATTTACAAACGTTCACACTCAGTAGGAGCAAAATCCTCAATTGTTAGCCATAACAGCAAAATCCTAGAAACAATGCAAAAGTCCAATGGCAGGGACTTGGTTAATAAATTATAATATATGCAGCCACTAAAATAATGATATTTACTAACATAAATGTCTATGCTATATTACATTTAAAAATCAGTTTACAAGAGTACCTGAAGTGTTGCCCCTTTTTGTTAAAAAAATACGTAAAGCACAGCAAGAGGTCTAGCAAGACATCCATCCCTCAAAAGTGTTAACAACAGTTTTTATTCTTCTTTTGCATATTTTCCATTTTTTTTCTGTACTACATGTTATATACTTTTTAAAAGAAACAAAATATTAGAGACCTGTCAAAGCTCAAAACTGTCTCATGATTAAAACCCATATTATATTTTAATATTAAAAAGAGGGCCCCTCACTACTTACCTTATATGCAAGCATGACAGCATGGCGGTGGTACCACCACCAAACACCCACACAGTAAAAAACACAATCAGAAGTGTGGTGCTGAACATCATTTGGCGGGCGTAAGTGGCAGTATCTCGAATGGCCAAGGCAAATGCCATTGCACCACGAAGGCCTACAAGGGAATGGAAGAAGGACAATGTGAGCTTCATAAATTCAGAGAAATAGGGCACATTCTGAGACCTTAGAAGAGCATGAACAAATATGTAATATATTTTAACATACAAAAGCATATACAAACAAATACAAAAAGAATTAGTAGATGATACAGGCATTGATCGTTTAACAATTTTTTGAAATCTGTTTTAAAATTTACTTACACTAAAGTTCACTCTTTTGGGTGTACAGTTCCATGAATTTTGACAGATGTATAGAGGTGTGTGACCACTACAAGTGAGACACAGAGCGGTTTCATCGCCCCTCTCCCAAATGCGTTTGTGCGACCCTCATTTTAGTCTAACCTCTCGTCACCCTACCAAACCCTAGCAACCACTGATCTGCTCTGCATCGCTGGGCTTTTGTCTTTTTGAGAATGTCGCGTAAATGGAACATACGGTATGTAACCATTTGAGCCTGGCTTCTTTCACTCAGCATAATGCCTCTGACGTCCATGCATGTTGTTGTGTGTATCACTAGTTTGTTCTTTTTAGTGCTGAGGAGCATTCCATGGCATGGATGTACCACAGTTTGCTTATTCCCTCACTCACTGGAAGACAGACAGTTGGGCTGTTTCCAGGTTTTGGCAATTACAAATTGCCGTAAACATTCACATACAGGTTTTTGTGTGAAAATGCGTCATCTTTACCTCCTCCACCACACGTGACACAGTTCCGAACTGGGAATTTGGAACCAGAACATGAAAAAATCCCCATAGAAGGGAATGGCACACTTTTAAAAAGAATTTTCTACTGGAGGTTGCAACTTTAATATTTAAGGGAGTCTCACATTACCAGCATATCATTTCCATCTGAAATCAAGTTGTTGTATGCACTGTGAGTTGTTTCTTGGAGTAAGCAAGAGAGGGAATTATAACTTACCAGCAAACATCATCATGTGTTGAAAATTTGATCCAATCTTACTTCTTCTACCCAAATTAAGTAGGAGGGACAAGGGATAAATATTGGCAGCTCTTCCCAAGAAAATAGCAATCTAAAATTATTAACAGGTTAAGAATAATTCTTTTTATTATTAACATTCTTTACACTATACCTTCAAGATGGTGAAACACTATCTTAGGGAGCTCAGTTTCTAACACACAGTCTTTATTTTTTTAATTTAAATTTTTTTAACATCTTTACAGGAGTATAATTGCTTTACAATGGTGTGTTAGTTTCTGCTGTATAACAAAGTGAATCAGTTATATGCATACATATATCCCCATATCCCCTCCCTCTTGCATCTCCCTCCCACCCTCCCTATCTCACCTCTCTAGGCGGTCACAAAGCACTGAGCTTTTATCCCCCTGTGCTATGCAGCTGCTTCCCACTAGCTATGTATTTGGCATTAGGTAGTGTATATATGTCAATGCCACTCTCTCACTTCATCTCAGCTTACCCTTCCCCCTCCCTGTAACAGTCTTTAGATTCCACTGTCTGACACAGCACCGTCCAATGGAACTTTCTGCCACGATAGTACTATAGCTGCACTGTCCAACATGGTGAGTGCCTGAAGTGTGGCTAGTGTGACTGAAATTTTCATTTAATTTCATTTTCATTAACTTAAATTTAAATAATTACATGTGGTTAGTTGCTACCAAATTGGACAGTGCAGGTCTAAGATATAGGACATTCATTAGATGAATAGGAACATGTTTAAAAACAGAGCTTCTTTGGCATAACCTTAAGATTACTAATATAACAGTCTAGTTCATCTTAACTGACAGTGTTGGTAGGGGGAAGAGTAATACTGGCTAAACTTGCCCTTGCTTCCTCAGAACAAAGGGCAGCTCAAACACCTCATACCACTGAAATTCCTGCTAACCTTGATGTACTCCTCTGAGTTTACACTTTCACCCTGCTTCAAAGGGAAGGCTTAATTGGAATTAAGAATGGTTTTAACTAGAAACCAATTTTAGTGTCTTTTTCTCCAGTTTGCTCTCTATAGAGACTCTTGCTTTAAAATACAATTTTGGTTTCAGGGGTTACAATACAGTCTCCACCTCATTTTCTGAAAGGAATATAAAGGAAAATCTAAGATTAAAAACAAAAGAAGGTGGGGGGAAAAAAAAGAAGGTGGGGGAAAACAGTGCTGACCTAAGTAACTTTGGAAATGGGTGGAATTTGTAGGGCTAAAGGCAAAAGGAACTGCACATAAGCATTACATGCTCATTGATAAAGTTGCTTCCCATGGGAGCACTGGGTAACAATCCTGATATTACTATGCATGCTGGAATGGAACAGTTAAGTAATGGATGGTAGAAGGTGGGAGCCAGGTTTCCCACTATTGGAATGGGGATTCACAGATCAGCAGGGGAGGAGGCTAGAATGACCCATATGCTAACGGATTAGAGTTGGAGACATTGATATCTGGCTTAATAGAAATACAGATGGCTACCTATGTAAATATTTATAGATACACATATATTCAGGAGCTAATATATACATATATATTCCTCCTCTGTCAGCTGGAAGGGCTTAGAAACCAGGACACCCAGTAGCACTGAGCATACCTAGAGCCCAGATCTTGGTTTCTAATACCATTCCCCAATAAAAGGAACCAGGGCTCCTTGGAGAAATGGCTGATTCTAGGGCTGGGGCAGAAAATATGTAAGATGAGCCTGAAGCACCTTATAGTTCCAGAAAGTGAGGAAGCACTCACAAAAATTTAAACAAAAACAAAACAAAACAAAAAAACACAAGGCACACAGGAGCCCACTGAAAGAGCTTCTAGTGGCCAAAGCTGGAACAGGTCAAGTAACACAATTTTAAAAGAAGTACTGTATTATAACCTGAAGTATAAAATACATATCAATGAGTTTGTACTGATATAAATAAGTGATAGCTTAAAACAATCAATGGGGGAGAATAGAAAAATCTCCTGTGGAAAGAATTTCAAATAATTTTCTAGATACTCTGTCTTTGAAGTGGTGGAACTGAACTCCCCAGTCCCTAAGTGTGGCTCCCTGTAGTGACTCCCTTCTAAGCAGTACAACATAGAAAGGGGGGAAATTGAGGAACTTTACAATGGAGCAACCTGACAAACACTATCTAGGCTAAGTGATTAAGACCCAACACAGCCAAAAATAAATAAATTAATTAATTAATTAAAAAAAGAAACGAACAAGAAGTAGTGAGGCATAAACTTAGGGGGGGGTTTCCTGGCACATTCCAGGCTAACTTACAACCTAGGAACACGACTTCCAGGAAGGCTCTGCTGCCCTAGTAACCAGACTTGGGAATGGAGAAACGCTGCAGCCTTTTGGCCGTTTTCTGCAATAGCAAATTTAAACACAGTGCTAATGGTCACTTAATATTCACAATAATTGCAGACCCAAAAATGACACCTCCCCTCAAAAAAAACTGGGGGGGTCGAAAATCGACCAAAAATTTCCAAAGAAGGCAACCTTTCAAGAAGACAATTTCAAGAGGCATATTTTACTCACGTTTTCTTTTCTTTTTTTTTAACAATAAAGGGCATGGAAAATGCTCAATATCATGAATTAAGAAAGACATGCAAATCCAACATTATTAACGTGCTGATAAGTATGTGCCCTTGCCATGATGTGATGAGAATGGCACTTTACTTCTGTGGTCTTCCTCCCAAAGAACGCACAAGCCCGGTCTAAACACTGGAAAAACATCAGGCAAATTCCAGTCGTGGGACACCCTGAAAAATACCTGACCACTAGCCCCTCAAAATTGTCAAAGGTCATCAAAAACAAGGAATGTCTGAGAAACTGTCACAGTCAACTGGAACCTCCAGAGGCATGATGACTCGACAAAATGTGGCAGCCTGGAAGCGACTTTGGATGAGAACAAGGGCATTAGGGAAAAACTCTGGGGATATGAATAAAGTATGAACTTCAATTAATAATAATGTATCAATATTGGTTTATTAATTGTGACAAGCATGCCATGCTAATGTAAGATGTTAACAATAGGGGAAACTGGGTGTGGGGTATATGAGAACTTTCTGTATTCACAATTTTTCTGTAAATCTAGAACTAGTTTAGAATCCAAAGGTTATTAAAAGTAGTGATTCCCTGGAAAAAAAAAACAATAAACAAGAAAATAAAACAGTAACAACAAAACATGTGGGTCAATGTGGCAGTGACCACTGGTTATATCCCCAATATCTATTTTTTCTTCCCTCAATAGTAGTAGATACTCCTCCCCATCACCTTCAATTTTCATCTGAGTATATAGACACCCAGCCTCCTCTGCTGGGAGGTGTAGCCCATGGGTGTTAGGTGGAAGTGATGTGTGCATGTTCTGGTGGGGGTGAGCCACCTGGGACCCTAAGAACAAGGGCAACTCCCTAAGATGCTCGTAAGGCTGCTTGGGTCCCTGCTGACTTTGTGGAGCAGAGCTTGCCACATCAGTCCAGACTTTCCCATGAGAAAGAAACACACTTCTATCCTCTTTAAACCTTGGTTAACTTGGGTCATTGCCACATGAAACCAAACCTATATCCTAACAGACATAGCCAGCAAGAGAGCAACTCTCTCCTGCTAAGAGTCAATTTCCAAGGTAGGATTCTGTACTGAGGAACTTCAATTCCTAACAGACTCAGAAACCTATAGAGAATATTTAGCCTTGTTTCTGGATAAGTATAGTGGATCAAGCCACTTGACTGCTCAAAAAATTTCTCATAGACTAGCAGGATATGAAGTTACTGATCTCATGGGAGTCTTCCAGCTAAGGTTCTTCTCTTATGAATAAGGCTTTATCATTTTTTGCCTGAAGTTAATTCTCAGAAGACTAAGACTGCAGAATGGCATTTCAGTAATTCCTCACTTTCTAACACAGATCCTACTTAGAGCTTTAATTAAAGAAATATTTCTGCCCATCTCTTTTGGCAGAATCTTCATTCTGAGGTGTTTTTTAAAAAACAGTACTTCTTTTGAAAATCACTAATTCAAACATCCCTCTCTCTGACCACAATGTTTCATGTTCATCTATCCCAGATAATTCTTCCACCTCACTGGGACCTCCAGTCCAAAGATTCTGCTACTTTTCCATCAGTCAGTCCTCTCCCTTCTTCATTTCCTTGTTTAGCCACATTTTAATAAAACTCATTCCAATACCTTGCATTCACTTACCCCTCTGTTTTCATTGCACCGACTTGACAAAACACCAAACTCAGACGGACTCAGCTATCTATTTTCTCCACGCTTACAGCTAAATTCTCCTGGACAAAGTCATACAACGGGGCAGATTGATTCTACTGTTAATACTTATTCCTCAAACTCAAGTGGGTCCCTAACACTGCTCAGCGATTCTACTGCATTCCTTTGGTCAACTCACTTTCCCACTCTTGCAACCACTATTTCCAAACCTTCTCCTCAAAACTCCTATCACCTATGGGAGCCAGCCTCCTAGAGGGTTCCCGAGTATTCACACCCTTGTGTAGCCTCTGCTAACACTGTACCAGGTTTTGTCTGTGTGACAAATAGAAAATGGCAGAAGGGATGATGGTACATCACCTCCAAGATTAGGTCATAAAAGGCACTTTGGCCTCCATCTTGGTGCTCTCTCAGCTCACCCCCTCTGGGGAAAGCTATGTTGTGCGCTGGCCCATGAAGAGGTCCATGCGGAGAAGAACTGAAGCCTCCAGCTAACAGCCATGTCAGTGAGGTTGGGGTGCCTCCTCCATCCCCAGTCAAGTCTCGAGAGAGTGAAGCCCCAGCCCAGAGCATGACTACAACCTCAGGAGGGATCCTGGAGCCAGAACCAGCCAGTGAAGCTGCTCCTAGATTTCTGACTCTCAGAAACCATGTGAAATAATGTATGTTTGTTGTTTTAAGCTGCTAAATTTTAGGGTAATTTGTTACATAATAGATAACTGATAGGCCACCTGCTCCTACCTCACTTTCAGCAGATGATCTCACCTCCCACTTTACAGATAAAAATAGAAGTAATCAGACAGGAACGCCACCTTGCAAATGTACCCTCATCTCTACATACCCTACCCTTTCCTGGAACAATGGCGGAGCTGTGCTCCCTCCCACTGAAGGCCTGTCCCTCCACACGTGCTTTGGATTCCATCTCCTCCTGCCTTCTCATGAGGCTGGCACTATTGATCGCTGTCTTTCATGTAATCAGCTTCTCCTTTTCAGCTGGGTTTTAAAAACTCAACGAGAGAGAGAGAGAGAGAGAGAGAGAGAGAGAGAGAGAGAGAGAGAGAGAGAGAGAGAGAGAGAGAGAGAGAGAGAGAGAGAGAGAAGGAGAGAGGGGGGGGGGGGGAGGGAAGGAGGGAGGGGGGGGTGAGCCTCCTTCCATCTTTCATCATCTTTCAACTACTGCCCTGGGGCAGACTGCAAACTGCTCCCCACCATCGAATCTCTCTTTCTTCCCTTCAGTAATAAAGGACAAACAGTTTTATCTTTTGGGGTTGGCAGAATGGCAGGAGACTTTTTTCTTTCATTTCAATCTGTTAGTATTATTTGTGTGATAAACAAAAAATGGAAATAGAATAGAATAGATAAAAAAGTTGAAATCCTGATTTGCTTTACTCAGAGGAAAATTTTATATATTTAACTGTATTCTTATCAATCACCCCTCCAGAAAACCCATGCAAATCTCAATTTAAAAAGAAGTTTCCAAAATGGAACACATAATAAAGGATACAAATGCTCCTACCACAAATGTTGGGTTAAAGACATGATTCTGGAATGTGAACAGTGTCAGTCCCATGTAGGAGAAGATGAAATTCTCTGCCAAGAAATTGAGAAGCTCAAACAACTGAAACGAAATTTTAAAAGGTTAGTCCAGTAAATAAAGTTACATAATTTGAAAACATGAGTATTACTAAGATATTGAAACAGATATTTCAAATATGTAACATTCATGTATATCCCCCAAAACTCATGATTCAGAGGGGAGCAAATGTAGAGATGACATTTTTCTGGTCCCACAGAAAAAGCCAGAAATGTTACCCCTTCACTTCCCCAATCAGCTTCCCTTCTTCAATCCCCGTATTCAGTCATTCTTGTCCTCATCCTGCAAACCCTGCCAATTTTTCTTTTGCAATGTTCTTTGCTGTCCCTGCCACTGCCTTAGTCTAACTTTCACCACTTCCCACCCATAATGCTGTGAAAGGGCCCTAACTGGTAACCCTGCAATCCCTAAAAATATGGCAGTTCCAAGACACGTCCCTCTTTACGGGCTGTAAGATCCAGTTCAAATCCTTTTATCCTGGCACAGAATGCTTCATGACGATTCTCACAACAGCACCTTGCCATGTGATTTCACTTTTTACATGGGTCTCAGCCCTCACTGAGGGAGTAGGGCTTACACATTATAGCCTGGTGCTCTGTACCCTTCCCTGCTGCCTGCCCACCTCCACCTGTTCACATCACTGTGATGAAAAGGCCACAACTAGAAGCATGAAAATTACGAAAGAAGAAATCTCATTGGTAAAGGCAAATATACAATAAAGGTAATAAATCAACCATATATAAAGCTAGTAGGGGGCTTCCCTGGTGGCGCAGTGGTTGAGAGTACGCCTGCCGATGCAGGGGACACGGGGTCCGGGAAGATCCCGCATGCCGCGGAGCGGCTGGGCCCGTGAGCCATGGCTGCTGAGCCTGTGCTCCGCAATGGGAGAGGCCACAG